TCATACGGAAAAATAATATTTAAATATTTATTTAAAAAATAGTTATTGATGTTTTCGAATAATTTTACAATTAAATAAATTCGTAAATAAATGTATCAGAACATTTTTTTGAGTAAAATTTTTTCCTTTATTTTCTAAAAATTTAAAAAGTTTTAATTTCATTTTCAATTAAAATTTGTAATTGACAAATAGAATAGAATATGTAATGTTTCTTTTCCAAAAGAAAAGAATAAGTTTCTGAACAATATTGTTATTGAGAAATATAAATTATGCATAAAATATTTCCTATTTCATAATTATAATTTTTTAACAATTAACAATTTTCTCATATTTTTTTTTTATAAATAAAAAGGAGAAAAATTTGCATAATTTAGATTAGTCAAACGAAATTTGTTATAGAAAAAAGCATATAATAAACAACAGTTATTTGTTAATCATAATTTTTTTATATTTTCTTCTTTCAAATATTGTTTTATTATAAATCATGAAAAAATACCTGCATTTTTTCGATCTGTCAAACAATATTTTTTAAAGAAAAAAAAAACAAAAAAAAACAAAAGCATACACAAAAACTAACTTCAAAGTGTGGACAGACAGAATGAAAGAATTAAATACGAAGATTATTATAGTTAATTCCTATCAAGAAATTACTATAAAACCAATTTCATGGAATATTTAAATTATTGTCTCGATAATTAATAAATAATAATAATAAATCTTGAAATATAATAAATATTTAATTAATAAATATTAACTGCACCCATTTATCAGCAGCGACTTAAGTTCTAAAATTTTTTAAAATCAAATTTTAAAGTTAATTTCTTTTTTTTTTGCTCAAAATCAACTTATGTTGATAAACATAAAAATAAACTTTATAAACTTTATAGTTTTGAAAAATTAAGTAGGTTCTGAGTGTAAAAATTAATATCTATCTTTATCACAAATTAGTTTTAACCCTCCTACGATTTTATCATTTTTCAATTTTTCAGGAAATAATATAATGTTGTTAAAATTAATTTTGACTATTTAATTTTTACTTAGATATTAAATACAACTATTTAGCTTCAAGTAACACTGCGAGTTTTATTTATATGACTCTGAAATTAAATTTTTTCAAATAAATAAATGAAATAATTACAACCCCGAGTATACTCGGGTTAAACCGTAGGAAGGTTGAACATAAAAATTACTTTATTTATTAAAAGAACTGAAAATGAAAGAAAAATGTTCAATCTCTCAATGAATTTATTGTTGGAACATGTATAAACATGTTCGAAAATTTGTACCTTTTTGTGTTGCGGGGAAATCACATTTCAATATGTGCATAGAGTTAGAATCATGTTCAACGTCTTTACAGGCATCGATTTGTTCTATTCAGCATGTGTGTACATTCTGAATGTAGATGCAGAATGGGTATTATGGATGTTGAAAACAATGGTATGAATGAACGGACTGACGGACGGATATCGGTATTCTCAAGCGCTTAACGGAATATTCGTTGTTCTCAAAAATGTGTCGACAAACTCGTCTCTATATACATATATATGATGATGATGATGATGAATATTTTCAGAAACGTGCTTCAATCGGATTTTGCACACATTTAATTCCTCTCTTTTGCGCTTGCACACTCTAACTTTACTTTTCACTCTACACTTTCAAAAACTCGTCTAGGAAGATAGCAAATATATTCCAAGTCATTCGTAACATTGACATACATATATATATTCAGAAATTTCTAATTAGTTTGTCTTCTAAACTGAAAGCCGTCTTAGTATTTGCTTTCGAGTTGAGGGACATTTGCTGATTGCGTCTTCAATTTATTGAAGTTCAAATTGTATTTACGTTACGAAGAGGAAGCTTACTCTCAGCCAAAGTGATAAATAGGAGAGAATGGAAACTGGAAACATTATAATACCAACGGAGAGGAATCTTCCATTATTTTCTATTTTTGCTCTTTTTTCTATTTTTTTTTCTTTTTCTATTTTTGATCTTTTTTCTATTTCTGTTTTTTTTTTCTATTCCAGACTTTGCACTCGATAATTAATTTTCTATTCTATATTTTATTTTCCTGGCTTTTTCCTAATTTTCATAAAAAATATTTACTTTTTTCTTATCCTGCTAATAAACTGAATTATATTTTTTAAAATTGCTAATTATTAACTATAATAGTTTGAATGTTCTTTCATTCATTCATTCACTTTTTCTGTCCCTCACACTCTAAAGTTGTCTTTTGTTAACTTTAGATAGATTGTATAATTATTATGTACTAGCAAATGTTACACGAGGAACGTGATATTCAATTTATTATTGTTATGCAAATTACAAAATTTTTTATTTCCAAATATAAATTTTTGTAAAGAATTTCATAATCAAAATTTAAAAAATTTACTTTTTAAGTACAAAATTAATTATTACTCTTCATATTTTCAAAATTTTTCTAAAAATTTCACTAAAGAATTCAATTATTTTCCAAAATTTTAATAAATCCTTGTAAACAATTCAACTATTCATTTAAATAGTAAAATCTTTACAAAAATTCAATGACTTTCAAAACAATTTAAATTGAATTCCTCGGATGAATTCAAATATTTTTAAATATTTCCATAAATTTCAATTATTTCCTCGCAAATTTTAATGAATTCTTCCAAAAAATTCAAATATTTTTATAAATAGTAAAATTCTTCACAAGAATTAAATTATTTTTAATCAAATTTCAATAAAATTACATGAAAGAATTTAATTATTTTCAAAAATTTCCATAAAATGCAATTTCAACAAGAATTTAAAATTCTCTAAAACTAAAAATAATTTAATTATTCTCAAAATATTTTTAAAAAATTCTATATAAAAATCAAATTACCTTCAATGCAATTTTTAAATACAATCGTCAAAAAAATTTGAAAGAATTCAATTATTTTCAAAAAATAATAAAATTCTTGTGATAAATTCAATTATTTTGAATATTTTAATAAAATTAATTTAAAAAAAAACTCTAAACAAATTCCATTATTTTCGAAACACCTTAACTGAATTTCTCGAAAAAATTTCATTATTTTCAAATATTTCTATAAAATTCTTCATAACAATTGAATTATTTCTTAAAATTTCAATAAATCCTTCGAAACAATTTAATTATTTTTATAAATTGTAAAATTCTTCGCAGTAATTCAATTATTATTATAAATAGTAAAATCCTTTGAAGGAATTCAATTATTTTCAAAACAATTTTAATTGAATTCCTCGGATGAATTCAAATATTTTTAAATATTTCCATAAATTTCAATTATTTCCTCGCAAATTTTAATGAATTCTTCCAAACAATTCAACTAATTTTATAAATATACAAAAATTCTTTGCAGGAATTAAATTATTTTTAATTCATTTTTAATAAAATTCTTCTTCATAAAATTTAATTGCTTTTAAAATTTGCAATTAAAATTATTAAAGAAACTCCATTAGTTTAAAAGAAAATTGAAAGCAATTCTTCAAAAGAATTTAATTAGGATTTTTGAAAATTTTTAATAAAATTCTTTGCGAGAATTCAGTTATTTTTCTAAATAATAAAATTCTTCAAAGGAAATTTTTTGATAAAATTTTATCTCTTTGCGAGAATTCATTTCTGAATTCTGAATTTTATTTTTCTAAATAATAACATTCTTTGAAGGAAATTTTTTGATAAAATTCTTTCCAAAATTTCGATGATTTTCAATACATTACTTTTAAAATTGAAAATATTTGATAAGAAAAATTATAAAAAAAAAATTCAGAAACAAAAAGCAAACAAAATTTAACTTCAAACTGCGAACAAATTACAGGAACTTGTACTTTATTATTATTAATTAATAATGAATTAATTAATGTTATAATTATTTTTATTTTATAATTAATTTAAAATTGTCATGACAAATAGAAATTATCAAAATTTTTTTTCACTTCTTTTTATTAAAAGACTAAAATTTTGTTAAATATTATGTTTTTTCAAATTGGAATTATGCTAATTTTTGATCTTTACTTCTAAACAAAATAAGAAAATTGTTAAACAGCTGTGATTAAGAAATAGAAAATTAATTTATTTTACATTATTTTTGTTTAAGATTCACAATTTTTTTAACAAATTTATTATTTTTTTTTTTTTAGAAAAAGAAAAAAAATATTTGCACAATTGGTATTTTTAATCTTATTTTTGAACAGGATTTTCGACGGGAATTAAGACATTCAAAAATTAAAAATTCAAACCTTTTTTAAATTAAACAAATTACAAAAGTATTGTTAGAAAACATGAAGATATCGATTGCTCCAAGTCGAAGACTCGGAGTGATCGATTTCTTCATGTTTTCTAATAATTAAAGATGATCGAGAGATAAAATCTTTTTTTTATATCATAAGAATATCGACTGTAACTTCATCAAAATTATTTTTCATCATTTTAATTCAATTATTATTTTCTAGAATTTAAAATTATTTTTTATGAAAATAATTGAATTCTTTAAAAAAAATTTATTATTTATAAAAATAATAATTGAATTCCTGTGAAGTTTTTATTATTTATGAAAATAATTAAATGTTTGCATACAATTTTATTATATTTTTTTTAAATAATTGAATTCTTCTTGGGAAATTTGATTAAAATAGTAGATATTGAAAATCATTTGAAATTAGAAAAATGCATTTTATTTTTGAAAATAATTGAAACTAAGGCAAGAATTTTTTTTTTTGAAATTCATGAAAATAATTGAACTTTGGAGAAGAATTTTGTTATTTAAAAAGATAATTGGGATTTTTAAGAAATTTTTTTTTCAAATTTTGTACATAGTCAAATTTTATAAGAATTTTATTATTTTTTTTTTAAATAATTGAATTTCTGCAATTATTTGTAATTTCTCGAAAATTGAATTTTTCTAGTGTTTTCAACAAAGATTTAAATTAGAAAATTTTTTAAATTCTATTATTTTCTAGTAGAGTTATTAAAGAGAAACAAAAAACAAAATTTGTTACAGGTGTAATAAACAGAGGTGACTCATTCAGGAGGCGAAGGTCGAGGTCAAATTCCTTGGCACCTGCCGATCAAGAAACGGAAGAAAAACCAGTCGCACCTCCCAAGGAGGTTATTTCCTACACTGTTGCGATATTAGGAGCCCGGGGTGTTGGTAAAACAGCCCTCATTAGTCAATTCATGACGAGCGAATGCATCAATGCCTACGATCGACAGAGAGGTGAGACTCTTTTTTTTTTAATTTCTTAAATCAAATAAATTAAAAATTATCTCAAATCACATTTTTTTTTAGGTTCATATTTTTGTCCCTAAATAATTTTTTCACTTTTCTTTAATAAATTTTGCAAACCTGTTTATATGCAATAAATAAAAATTCCTGTTGTATAAAATTTTTACTTGAAAACAAAATAAAAATTGTATATAAAAAAATACATATTATCTAAATTACTTTCTCATTGAATTTTACTAAAATAGCAACAAAAAAAAAATAGAACTGGTGCTTTTTTGAATTGCGTTGAAACATTAGGGACAGATATAAATCGTCTTAAATGGAAAGCGTTTATCTTGAACGGGTTAAGAGGCAAGAATATCGTATATACAGTTCCATTTAAGTCTTGTGACAAATCGCCATTTTTCTTTTTTTTTCTTTTTTTTTTTCTTTTTCGTGGCGAGAAACAAAACAAAAATGAAAATCGGAAGATAAAATATTTATCTTATAAACATATAATAGAAACTGGGACTCTCGCCCTTTTTTTTTGTTTATTTTATGAAATTTCATTATCGTAAGAAACATTTTCTTGTTATAATATATACGGAGAAAATTCGTGTTGAAGAATAATAACGACCCTTTTTTAATGGATTTGGGGAAATATTTAAAGATCCGTTTTTTGTATTTTATCATTTATTTACAAACATTTATTTTTTTATGTAATGCCAGTAAATTTTCTTTTATTGCTGCAAATTAAACAAAAACAGGGAATTTTTTTAAATCGAGAGCTTAAAACGAAGAGTTTACTAAAATTATTATTATTATTATTTTTATTATATACATGGCAAAAAAATCTTTATCTGTAATAGCTGTAAATTTTTCTGCATTAGCGAAATTTTTAGTTGTTTCAGTAAATACTTTCGCTATTCTAGAGATACTTATCGCTGTTCCAGGTGAAATTTTTTTTTCTTGTACATTTACATTTATGTTTATTTATTTATATATATTTAGAGAAAAAAATTATAGGAATTCAAAAAAATTCTATCGAACCGAAAATTTTCATATTTCCTCCGTATAATTTTCCAACTGTGATTGAAATTGTTAAACACTGTTGAAATTTGTTGCAATATATATTGCAAGTGAAAATAGAGGGGGGGGGGTGAGAGGGTTCAATCATTGTATAAACATTTGTGGGAGCTGGATGAGACAGTCGCCATGGGGATTGCTAACCAGGAACATAACACGTATACCAACAAGTACAACATATGTGTGTGTTTATATTGTTTCTGACAAAGTAAAATTATTCACGTTTGTGCGGTTTTCTGACAAACTCCAAAGTCTCAGGACAAAATTGTTGTACATTTATATAGAGAGGGATCATGTAATTTTGAAAATTAGCATATTAGATAACAGACAAACCAACGTACCGTATACGTAATTATTAGAAAAAAAAGAGAGGCCAGTGGCCCTTGTATTTTTTTTTATATGTAATAATATTTCTTAACGCGTGGCTCTCGGCCAATCTTCTCTTTTGGACGTGGCAGAGCTTTTTCAATTTGAATACATTGTATAAATATATGGAACTTCGCAGTTATTAATTTGAAAAATGAAAACAAACATTACTCAAGAAATTCTTAAAGAAAAATTTTTTTTATGTAATTTGTTATCAATTTTCACACGCAATTAGCGGAAAATAATTATAAATAACAATAATAATAGTAATAATAAAAATAAATAATAACAATAGTATAAATAAAATACGTTTAAATTCAGTTGTATTATTTCTGTCTTAAAAAAATATTAAATTAACTATAATAATCTTCGTATTTCATTCTTTTATTTAAATTCTGCCTATCCACACTTTGAAGTTAGTTTTTGTGTAAGCTTTTGTTTTGTTTTTTTTTTTTGTTTTTTTTTCCTTAAAAAATATTGTTTGACAGATCGAAAAAATGCAGGTATTTTTTCATGATTTATAATAAAACAATATTTGAAATTAGAAAATATAAAAAAATTATGATTAATAAATAAATTGTGTAAATTATATGCTTTCTTCAGTTTTTTTTAAAACAAATTTCGTTTGACTGATGTAATTTATGCAAATTTTTCTCCTTTTTATTTATAAAAAATATGAGAAAATTGTTAACTGTTAAAAAATTATAATTAAGAAATAGAAAATATTTCATGCATAATTTATATTTCTCAATAACAATATTGTTCAGAAACTCATTCTTTTCTTTTGGAAAAGAAACATTACATATTCTATTCTCTTTTTCAATTACAAATTTTAATTGAAAATGACATTGAAACTTTTTTAATTTTTAGAAAATAGAGGAAAAAATTTTACTCAAAAAAATGTTCTGCTACATTTATTTACGAATTTCTTTAATTGTAAAATTATTCGAAAACATCAATTTTTTTTTAAATAAATATTTAAATATTATTTTTCCGTAGGAATTAAAATTTTTCAAAACATTCAAATTCAAATGTTTTTAAATTCAATAACTTATAAGAATATTTTTATAAAACATGAAGATAGCGATTGCTCCGAGTCGAAGACTCGGAGTTATCGATTTCTTCGTGTTTTATAATAATTAAAAATGACCAAGTGATAAAATTATTGTTTTATATTATAAGAATATTATTACAGTAACTTTTTTATTATTATTTTTATTGTCATTTTTTTTTCATTTTATAATAAATTCAAAATTTTTACTATTAATTAATTTAAAACAAATACCTATTATTTTTAAACAATTTATCTGGTTTTATTTATTAATTATTATTTTATTGAGAAAAAAGACATTATCGCAAATGTTTTCCCTTTTAAAATAAAATTGAAACTTTGTGTCAAAAATTGCAATTAACAAATAGAAATCATGCACATTTTTTTCATTTCTTTTGAATAAAAAAATAAAGTTTCGTTGAAAATTGTTGTTTATTAAATCAAAATGGTCCATAGTTTTTTCTTTACTTTTACACAAAAATTAGAATATTTTTAAAATTTAACAATTAAAAAATAGAAAATATGCCCATTTTGCATATTTTCTGTTTATCAATCGCAATTTTGCTCGGAAAATTAAAAGTTTGTTTTAGAAAATGAAGAAAAATATTTGCATAATTTCTATTTTTTAATCACAATTTTTGTACAAAATTCTTTAATTTTTTTTAAACAAGTACAAAAAAATTTATTATTAAACCTTTCTTTGTAACAATTTTATTATTTTTTCTTGCTTACTATATTAAGATCAACTTTATGAAAAATAATATTCAAGAATTAATTTATTGACAACTTTGAAAATAATTAGTTGGTTAAAAATTTTTATTGTAAATTTTCGACTGTAAGAGAGAAATTATTTTCAACTTTTGCTGTATTTGAACAAACAATTTTGACACTTGACACAAGTCAAGTGTCGAAATTGTTTGTTTTCAAACTAATAAAATTTAATCATTTCAATTAATTAAATTATCTAAAATTATTTTCTAATAAATAAGGACCTGAAGAAAGAGTTTAATTTACAAAAACTAAAATTTCTTAATAGTATAATTGATAGTAGTTATTAATAGTAATAAAATTAAATTTCAATCCATATTTTTGTTTCATAAAAAAATTTTTTAGGTATTAAAAATTTTTAAATTCTATCATTTTTAAAATTGTTAATTTTATACAAAATAGTAAAAAAAAAGTTGACAGCGCGCGAATTGTTGCTAGTTAAATTAATAATAATAATAATAATAATGATATAATTATAATAATAATAATTGAAAAATTTTGAATAGTACAAAATTTTATAGCCCATACTTTTAATATTTCTCATATAGCGTAAAAAAGCCGAGTCTAATAACAATTTCACGTTGAAATATAATTTATTTTTCCATTTTAAAATGTCAGGACTAAAAGTCGAGACTTTTTAACGTTTATTTTGCACTCTACTTGCATTTTTCACGAGCACAAAGTTTTCAAAAGAAACCGTGTTTTATTATTTTTTTTTTAAAAAAAAGCCTCTTTCATAAATCTATAGAACTTTTTTTGCAACTACTTTTTTGTTCTTAATATCTTTGTTTCGCGCCAATAACAAAATTAAAAGTTTGAAATTCGATTTCTTTTTCAATTTTCATTTTTTGTTCGATAAATATCCAATGATGAAGGAGGAAAAAAAATTCTTTCCTTCTTTTCTTATTTGATAGATTGAAAAATATTTTCTATTATAATTTTTGAGAAGTATTTAGTGGAAAAAAAAACAAAAAATCTGATGAATTGGAAAAATAAGCTGTGCAATTAATAAAATTTCCAAATATAAAACTGTATTTAAAATTTTATTTCTAAAATTTTATTTCAATATTAAATTGTAAAATAAAAATTTGGAAATCGTAATTTTCAGAGAGAAAAATTGTCAGTGATGGAGAAAAAATTAAGAACTAAAATAAAACCATTGTTATTTTCTGTGAAAAAAAGTAATTTTATTATTTATTTCTGATAATAAAAAAGTAATTTTATTATTAGAAATCACTTTATGTGCTTCTTTATGCTGTAAAGAAATCCCGTAGCAAAATTGTGCGTAGCTTTTAACGAATCGAGGAAAAACCAGAATCTATTTGCGGTTTTATTAGTTTAGGTCCAATTCAAGACAACAAACTGTCATTGCATCTGCATTATCTCTTTATCGATAAACTCGATCCGAATAATTTTTTCCTAATCTTATCATTACTATATTGATAAATAGTTTTTTTTATATTTTTATTTACTATTTACTATTTACTATTTTGTTATGCATTACTTACATTCTATTATATATAGGGGAATGTAGTCAAGGTTGGCCTACTGTCTAGGTAGGCCACTCGCGTTTTTTTGTCAAGTTCACTAGCGCCACCTACGCGCATTTTTGTCGAAGCTTGTCTTAGTGAAACCTAACTTTTTGTTCAATTACATTTTCGGAAAATCGAAAATTGTGTTTTCTGTGACGTCGGTACAAAAAAAGCTCAAAAAAAGTTTTGTGCATAATGTGAAAAACCAT